GTGAAGGTCAGAAAGAGTGAGGTTGGCTTTTGAATATTAGGTAACCTCCCCACTCTAGAAAAAGACAGATGAGCTCTTTTTTGACAAACACTCAATTAATAAATGAAAGGAATTCTAGCATTAGGAAGTCAGTGTTTTACAGTCCCAGATGAAGTATCACCGTGAAACGTGATTAGAGAACAGGATGGCTGCGTGACACCACATTTTACCCTGGCTCGTTACACATGGGAGGCGGGATATGTGTCTTGACAGTAGGAAGATGCGACAGTCTTAACCATGGTGTTAACCAAATGGTTGAGGTTAGCATTAGTTACATAGTGGGACAGCCCCACGTTCTGTGTCTTTTCATGTGATGAAATCAGAATTTCACAGTATGTAGTATTTTTGCCGAAAACTATTAAACTGGAATCTAGACTTTGGTTCATAGAAGATACAAGTGGTAGAAGTAGGTTTAATGATTCTATGAGGAAATAGAGGCCAGGGCTATAGCTCAGTGGCATAAGCACGAGGCCTCGAGTTTGATCCCCAGTACTAAAGAAAAGGAAATAGATAAATAGAATATGAGGGGACACTTATGAGAGAGCCGCCTTGAACTATAGGAAAAGTTAATATTAATAAAAAAGAAAAGCAAGAGTTTTTAGATTAAAAGACATTTACAGGATAGCTAAGATGATTGCACTGCTGATTTCTATCAGTGTTTTGGAGGTAGCAATTAATGCTTAAAAGTTTTACTTTGACCAATTTTATATGCTGAGATCTGTAATCTGAGCAACTACATTGAAGACAGCAACGTGCAATAGAACAGCCACTGTTGACTACCAAAAGAAAAAAAAAGATACTGCAAGGGCAGAACAACCAAATATGATGAATAAAACTTGAGTAGGCTCTAAACTGGGTGAAAGATAGTGAAAATAAGGTCTGGGCAATTATGGAAAGGTGAACCTGGAATGCGTGGTAGGGACTGTTCTGTGATGTGGTCCTGCGTGGGAAGCTGTCCTTATTTCTAGGAGATGCAGATTGAGTTACGTGGGAGTAAAGCACAACTTATTTTCAAGTAACTCAGCAAAATAAATTTAAAAATGAATAATGGCTGTGCCTACAAAGACATATATGGCGCGGTCTTACAATACTTACATAAATGGGGATGTCCATTGTATGATTGGAGCTTTTAGTTTGAAATTTTCATAAAGTGTATTGAAAAAAGGAAAAAAAGATAAAAAGAGGAGAAAAGCAAAGCTCAAGTCCTGGAGTGGTAGGTGGGGGGCGGGCAGGCAGGGAGGGAGGCGGGTGGGCAGGCGGGCTGGCCCTGCTGTTCAGGTGGGCGCCGCTGGCACCGACCACGGAGCACCGAGTGGTGAGAGCCCACCGCTCTGAGCCACGACTCGGACCTCTGGCTAGCGGAGCAGCTTAAGGTAGAGGCTCGTGTTGTTCAGATGTGGTCTGTAATGTTGCAGGTATTCAAAAGCTGTTGACCGAAAGCACGCATTAAAAGGGATGATCAAGTCAGAGGATTGCTTGGAAAAGTGACTGGTGACTTTTCAAACCCAGGAAATATTTGAATTTAGT